TACTGCCCAACTTAATTTTTTTTTTTTACTTTTCCAAGTAAATTATAATTACCTATTTAATTTCTTATATATAAAAATAAAATTTAATTCTTAATTGATTGTAAATCATACATTTTAAATTTTAATAATATACATTATTTATTTATTTAAATATAAAAACAATTTTTAATTTTTAATTAATATATATTATATAATTAATTTCTAAAATTATAACATGTATGTAAGGCCTCATAAACATCTATTTTCTTCTAAAATTTAATACATTTAATTTAAAAGATTTGAGGTATGGTTAACATTTATCAAATAGAATATTATTTTTTTCTGTGGCTAATCCAACTATACCATATCTATGTATAGATATAGACTTTTTAAATTAATAAAGGAAAAATAAATAAAAAATAAAAAAAGAAGAAGCATGATTTTATTTTTTAAGAACTATTATGTAGACTGAAAATTAGAAAGCGACAGCATTTAATTAAATAATTTCATGTTGGAAACTTAATGATGTGTAATTATAACGAAATTATATATTTAAATATTTAGGTAGTGACAATATGTATATATTAAATTATATATAACTTAATATCTAATTAAATTATCTTATGCTTATAGAACTATAACTCTATTGATTAATGGTTTATTCATTAATCATTAGATGCATACAAAATATGAACTATTATTAGTTAAGGCTGCTATGAAAAACAAATTTTGATCATTGTTTTTTTAATTAATTTGAGATTATATTATTTATCATAATTTAATTTAATAATTAGTACGTTTATTTATTTATAAAAAAATATGAATTTAAGCTATATTATATTTTATTATATATTTTTATTTAAAAATTATTTGTATTATAACGACGGATGTATATATAAATGTCAATAACTTATTATTTAGTTTATGTAATTTTATATATATTTTTTTTATATTATTATTTTACTCTAACATATTCACATATTTCTTTTGAATGTTAACATCTTATGTAATGACCCCCATAAACTTTAAAAAAAATAAATTATAAATTTAGTACGAAAGCGCAATAAATAATTAGGATTTACATTAATTGCACAGTAACTTAACATATAAAATAGGATTTACAGGAATAACCATTCTAAAAAAATAACTAATAATCAAAGAAATAAATAAAAAGTAAACAAATTGAACGTTATACTCGCAATCCTCTTATGGATCGGTCTCTAGATCCTGGTCCTCTTGATCTGAAATGGTTAATAAAATAATGAGCTACACTAGTTCAGTAAGAATATCACACTACTTACCGACACAAAAATGAAGGTTAGTAGAAATAATAAAAACAACTAATTGAGCTCTTAATTTAAGTAAATTCGTTTGTCATAAATAAAATTATTTACCGCATATTTACCCTAACGAGATTTCTAAAAACAACATATAGAGTTAACAATATAACACATCATAATTTCATATACAATAAGTCGTAACAACAATTTTCTCTTTTATCAGCATACTGGTATTCATGGGGGTACATAGGGATATCCCCACTACGCATGAATTTTTTTTTTAGTATTTTCAATTAACGGGCAGTCCCCATACCCCGCCCGGTATGAGCACCAAGAGATACAATCCCTCAATACCTCATCCGGTATGAGGGTGAAACGGGTTGTCCCAATATCCCGTATGATATGAGTGCCAAATTACCAATCATCGGGTAATAAGGTGATAGATTCTTACTCAAATTGATGTCTGAAATGGTAAACTTTTGACTACGCCTACTAGCGGTCCCTGGATTTTTTGAATTTTCCTTCAGGGATTAACACGCGCTTCAAATACCTAGAAATACCCCCAAAAAATCTAAAATCAGTGTTAGAAACCCTTTTTGGCCATTTTCAGAATTCTGGCACAGCGGCTCCGCCATGCTCCGATAACGGCACCGCCGCCATGGCGGCGGTTTGCCTCTGGTTGGCAATTTTTGGTCATTTTCGACCAATTTTGTACCTATCTATGCAAGAAAACATGTTAAGGGGCATCGATTTGCTTAAAAAAATTGAAAATTGAAGCTTACCGGCGGTGGGGTTATCCAGTGCGGCGGTTCCGCCGGTTCACCTTCGCAGTTGGGTATTTTGCTTTGGTCAACCTATAGAAAAAGGAATGGTGATTACAATTGTAGAAAAGTTACATGAAATGGGAATCGAGAAGGGCCTTATCGGAGGTAGTTTTTGATTTTTCTCGCGATGGCGGCATCGGGTGTTGCACACGGTTTCCTACCAATCTGTCAATCCTTTTGCTCCAATTTGGTCATGAGGGTATTTAAAATCGAATTTCGAGTAAAAATTTTTTTTTTATCTCTTTTGATAGTCAGAAATGGCTTCGGTGCATCGGCGGGCAGCGGTCAGTGGTCGGCTCCCTTCACGGTGACTAGGTCTTCTTCTCCGACGGGGGGTCTGACGGCTAGGGTTAGGGTTTGGTGTAAAGAATATTATTTATATAAGTCACAATTTTGATCTGGACCATCCATCGGGTTTGATCTGGATCGTCCGATCGTGTTTAAATAGGAAGTGAATATGTGCCGTTCATCGCGATTTGATCTGTATCATTCGATTGCGTTTAAATAAAAAGTAGATCTGGACTGTTCATTGAGTTTAATTGTGATCGTCTGATCACGTCTATGAAGTGAACAGATTCGGACCGTCCATGCGTCCAGGAACGAATCTGGACCGTCCGATCGTGGGCACATGGATCGTTAGCGTGGCTTCTTGTGTGGTACTGCGTCAGCGTTCCTTGCCACGCGGTGTGCTCTGCTTCGTCGGGGCAGCTGACTGGGCATCCTACGTGGTACAATTTTTCTAAATTGCGTTTTGACCTCCAGTTTCTGATTTTTCTTTCAAAAATACTCATAGAACCCAAATTTTCACCAATTTTTTCCAAAATTGTTTTCAATTTCATCCTCCCTTTAATTTTCTTCATTTTTACATTAAATAAAAATAAAAAAATAAAAAAATTATATTTATATATTAATTTTAAAATTAAATAAATTAAGGGTATTACAACTCTCCCCCCTTAAAAGAAATTTGATTTCTCAAATTTGTCTTTCTCTCACTCAATCAAACAATCAAGGATATTCAGTTCTGAAGTCTGATTCTAGCTCTCAATTAGTCTCTCCCGGTGTATGATTCTGCCATAGAATCTTAACAAAAAAATTTTTCTGGTTGCAGAGTACTCTGCTCTTTTAGTCAATAATACCGATCGGTACTTCTTCGTAGGACAGATCCTCCTGTAGCGAAAGAGGCTTGTGGGCCAAGATGTGAGAGGGGTCTAAGGTGTACTTGCATAGCATAGACACGTAAAACACATTATGAACCATTAAAAGTTCTAGAGACAGTGTCAATCTGTAGGCGGCGGTGCCAATTCTGTCGAAGATTTCAAATTGGCCAACAAATTGGAGCTTTAGTTTTTTCCACTTGCCAAACCTACTGTTCCCTTGAAATGAGTGACCTTAAGGAATACCTAATCACATTTTTCAAATTCCAAATCCCTCCTCTAGGTATCCGCATAACTCTTATGTCAGCTCTGAGTTGTCTGAATGTTTTTCCTGATCTTAACTATTTTAGCTGTAGTTTTCTCTACAAGATCTGAACCAAATAATCTTTTATCACCCACTTCTTCCCAACAGATCGACGATCTGCATGGGCGGCCATACAACGTCTCGTACAGAGTTATGCCAATACTTCCTTTGTACCTGTTATTGTTAGCGAACTCTATCAGGAGTAAATGATCATCTCAACAGCCCCCGAAGTCAAGAACACAAGCTCGGAGCATATCCTCTAATGTACAGATTGTCCTTTCTGATTATCCATCGGTTTGAGAGTGGAATGCAGTATTAAGGGATAGTTTCGTTTTAATGGCCTGCTGAAAACTAGAGCAGAACCGATAAGTGATCCTGAGGTTCCTGTCGGACACTACTGTCAGTGAGACTCCATGTAATCTGATTATCTTTCGGATATATATTCTTGCTAACTTGTCCAATGGGTCGGTCATTCTGATGGCTAAGAAGTGAAAAGACTTGGTAAGCCGGTCAACAATTACCTAGATGACATCATGTCATGAGCATATCCTAGGCAATCCTATTACGAAATTAATTGTGATATGTTCCCACTTATACTTCAGAATTGGTAATGACAGAAGTAGCCCGTCTG